CAGGCGCCCGCCACAACGCCCGGCTATTTTTTGGTTGCAGCCGTCATTGTTTGGCGGGTCCGGGCTGGGGATTCGAACCCGCCACCTTAAGTGTATGTGGCTGGCGCCTTAGCCGGTTGAGCTATAGGCGCCGAGCCCACATTATCTTAAAAGCATAAAGTACAGTCTGTCTGTTTCTATAGATCAAGCATTACATGTACATCCCTTTAGGATCTAAGCAGTCAACCGAGACAAAGCAAGTACAAAATGAAAGGTACAACATCCTGCCTAACGGCAGGCAAATCTAAAACCAGACACACAAATTGTGGGGCCAAATAAAATCCTTCTGAGAGCTGCAAAAGGGCCCTAGCAGATATTTTAAATGTTGTATCAAGATAAAGAAAACCATCTATATAGTGCAAACATGCATTTATCCTGAATAGAATTGCTTGTACTGATTTAGTGACCTCAAGAATTCACAAGTCCTATGAAAATATGGTTATATTTGTTCAAGAGATGTAGAATAAATTATTCACTCATTATACAACCATGTCCCTTTATGAGGACTTAAACAAAAATTTACCTGAGCACCAAGAAAATTTGTTTCTCTTGGAAAAATGGCACTGTTTCTATCACATGGGCACCTGATTTAATTATTTCCCTTTTTGTTCTGGACTTTAGCAAACTTCTAGCAATTCATGGAATACATTTTTGTTACTCATTTGTCAGCTTTGGTCTACTGTTACTGAACATATTTATATATGAGACATATATATATTCAAATACAAGGCAGCAAGTACCATAATCCATATATAGCAACAAAAAATGTATACACATTTTAAGAAAGAAAAAAACTGTATTAAAATTGTAATGTTGAATATAAACCAATTAATAAAGAATGACAAGTCACATTTGAGTATCTTTTGTAATTGCAGAAGTCAAATGTAACTTGAGTATTAAATGTCAATATAGTTTTTCCCTTAAAATGTGTATAAATTTTTTGGCACGCTATGTATACACACATACACACAACATAAGCTAAAACTAATGACAATTACTAAATGCTAGATGGATCTATTACTTCTTTGATTAAAAATATTTGTTATATATGTGACAGACAAACAGAAGATTAGCAGGCCTTTTCAACTGAAAAAAATATAGCCATTAGAACGAAATTTCTAGATATTATTTTTAAGAGGATTTGAAAAATGAATAATCTATTAATAGAATCCACCTTTTACAAAAGCTTTGAAATTATTAAATCTTGCTTTATTTTGAATCTACTGAAAGAGCAGATACTAGTTACAAAAAGATACCAGAGTTAGGATAACAATTTTTTTTCTTTTCTTTTCTTTTTTTTTTTTTTTTTGAGATAGAGCCTCACTCTGTGGCCCAGTGTAGAGCGTAGTGGCACTCTGCAACCTCAAACTCCTGGGCTCAAGCAATCCTCCTATCTCAGGCTCCTGAGTCGCTGGAACTATAGGAGTGCATAACTGTGACTGGCTAATTTTTTTCTATTTTTGCTAGAGATGGGGTCTTGCTCTTGTTCAGGCTGGTCTTGAACTCCTGACCTCAAATAATCCGCCTGCCTCAGTCCCCTTGAGTGCTAGGATTACAAGCGTGAGCCACTGTTCCTGGCCACAAAAATGCTTTTAATGACATTTATTAAGGTTGATGCAGTTTCTGGAAAAGTATTCCTGGAAGACCAAGATTTCTCTGGCTTGTGAGCTAAATAAACTTTCTGTTGAAGATTAACTATTTTCAATTATTTTCATTTGTTATTTATATCCTATTAATGAAATCTGAGAAACATATTAAGCTACTACTTAATGGAGTTTTAATGATTCAAAACCCTAATGAATCTGACAAACTCCCAGGTCTGAAGTTAATGACGCAAATAAGAACAGGATTAAGACAACTAAAGTTAGTCATTTCTAAGTTTAAGGAAAAATTTTCATAATTAACCTGATTGTTATTAGGTAACCAAGGGGTTCATTTTATATTTATCAATAGATACCCAAAGAGTATCTTCAAAAGTAAAACTAAAAGACAATTCCAAACCTTACTATGTTGGGGTAGTTGGAAAAAAATTAAGAATTTATATATTGTTCTTTTCTAAAATAATTTCTGTTGGGTGGCGCCTGTGGCTCAAGGAGGAGGGCGCCGGCCCCATATATCAGAGGTGGTCTGGCCAAAAACAGCAAAAGTAAGTAAATAAATAAATAACTTCTATTAAAGCATTTCAAAATTAGGTTATTTCAAAGGCTACACAATTATTTTTTTTTTGTATGAAAGGTTTTATTGGTGGGGGAGGGAGGCTGTGGAGCAGCATTAAGGAAAAGAGAAAAGAGGGGAGAGTGGGAAGAGGAGAGAGAGAGGGAGAGTAGAGAAGGATGAGGGGGAGAAGGGGTAGAGAGAAGAGTAGAGCAGACAGGCAGGAGAGTGAAAAGAGAAGAGAGAGAAGACTGCTGAAAAGTTGCAACATGTGGTAGATGAAAAAATCAACATATACACTCTTTTTCTAGAAATTATTTCAAATAGTTAAGGGGTTAAAAATTAGGCGGCCTGCTTAATGTATCTTCAATACCCTTGAGAAAACCAATTGTTATTTTGAAGGAGCTGCTTCAGCAAGGTACAAGGCTCAGAAGTTGCCAAAAATTGATAGGCTCTGCAAATAATAGCTAGAAATCACAAACAAGAGAAAAATCTTTAACAACATGCAGTAAGAAAAGGGTAATGGGCTACCCACTGAACTTTGCAGGTATTTGCACACTAAAAAATTGCCATCATGAGCACCATTTTCAAATACAAAGAGTGTGACAACATGTAATATGCAAATAAACACTAAGAACACTTCAGCGTGACATATGAAAGCAAAACAGAGACAATATACTTACCAGCTCCTCCACAGAAGGGACAGACTTCAGATATAAGAAAAAAGTTTTATAATTAGAAAAGTATCAAACAAAGGAATTTATCTAGTGGTATAATTATTACAAGGAAAATTCTCACATGGTGAGTATTATTTGGATGACGTTCTTTGGAACATAAACATAATCTTTGAAATCTATAAATAATTCTAACTGTATAACATTAGATTAAAAACTTTTATCAAAATTAGTCAATGCAACTGGTTCAGTGTTCTTTTTATTAAAGTACTCTGTTTCAAATCTAATGTTAAAATTTCAGGTAAATTCTTTTCTAGTATAAATGTACACCATTTCTTGATATTAATTATTGAATAGCTCAAAGCAGCAGTTATGATCTGACTTTTGTTCTGGTTAAGTAAAACACTTAATTGGGCTTTAGGAAAACATAAATATTTATTTAAATTCTAACATGTCAGTATTAGAAACAAATTAACCAAATGAAATGAACTAAAAACAAGTAAAACTTAAAAATATATTATTCTCATCACATCACCATCATTTCATGTCCTGCCTCTGCCAAGCTATTATACAACTGTCTTATTTATTACTGTGTCCCTATATTGTTAACGAACCACCTGGCACATAGTATACACTCAAAACATATGAGGTTAAATTGAGTGTTAAAATTTTTTTTCCTATAGGAACAATCTATGTTGATTAAGGGGACAGCAGTTAATTACGGTAAATTCATACAATAAAACAATATGCAGATATTACAAAATATACGGTGGCAGTAAAAGTGTTCATTAAGAGCAAAAGAAAGAATATGCTTCTGGTTGGCACTCAATTCCATTTTCTACTTCTTCCTGATTAACAGAGCTCCCATTTGACTTGAGGTGGCCATGTGACCAACCAAGAGACTGACATGCAGCTAGGGACAACCAGTGAGATGGTGGCAAGAAAGTAATGAGGAGGATTTCATAAAAAGTCCTCTCCAGAAGGGAACACAGCTAGGAAGCACCTTGTCTGCCCTTCCCTCGGAGTCCTTCTTCCTACTTGGAAGGCAGACAGGAAATCCCGAGGATGAAAATCAAGAGCTAACAATGGTAGAAGGAATTTCTTTTTTTATTTTTCTTGAGACAGAGTCTCACTTTGTCGCCCCAGTAGAAGGCCATGGCATCACAGCTCACAGCAACCTCAGATTCTTGGGCTCAACTGATTCTCTTGCCTCAGCCTCCTGAATAGCTGGGACTGCAGGCACCTGCCATAATGCCTGACACACCCAGATAGAGTTGGGGTCTAGCTCTAGCTCAGCCTGGTCTCAAACCTGTGAACTCAGGTGATCCGCCCTCCTTGGCCTCCAGAATGCTGGGATTACAGACATAAGATACCGTGCCTGGCCTGGTAGAAGTAATCTACATCCCTAGTATCTGTGGAACTACCACATCACTTCTGGACAACCTGTCTCAGGATTATTTTAAGAGAAAAATAACTGCTTTCAAGAATAATCCCAACGTTACTTGGATTTCTGTTATATGCAGCTGATCCTGATACAGTAATCCTGATATAGCAGGGTAAACAAATTATTGTTATAATCACAAATGTCTTTTAAATATATCTATTCACATATTCTTAAATAGAAGAAAAATTCTCTTCTAACTATCACTGGTTTTTGATGTTATCACTGGTTATCTCTAGGTGACAAGACTGTGGATGATCTTAATGATCACAAAAACTCTGCAGTTCTTACATATTCTAGATTTCCCACAATGAGCACACACTACATTTCATAATTTAAGCCCCTCATTAAAAATTGTTCTCCTCACTCTCTAAAATATATGCAAGTGCATGTCAATCTCTAAACTACTTACCAATTTTGCCTTAATGGTACCAGAGTCAACACTTTGGCCAGTTTTGGCATGAAGCTGGAGCTGAATAGAGTGCAACTGTAAAAGCTGATCATGCACTTCTTTCTCCAATACAACTTTCTCCGCTTGGGTCTCTGTCAGTTCAGATTTCAGATCCACCAACTGTGCCTTAAAAACATCAACAAAAAACATTAAGTATGCCTAACTTTTTCTTTATTTAATGATTATTATTCAAGAATGATAATTCAGGCTCAGCACTTGTAGTTCAAGCGGCTAAGGCATCAGCCACATACACCAGAGCTGGCAAATTTGAATCCAGCCTGGGTCTGCCAAACAACAATGACAACTACAACCAAAAAATATAGCCAGGCGTTGTGGCGGGCGCCTGTAGTCCCAGTTACTTGGGAGGCTGAGGCAAGAGAATCACTTAAGCCCAGGAGCTGGAGGTTGCTGTGAGCTGTGACACAACAGCACTCTACTCAGGGTGACAGCTTGAGGTTGTGTCTCAAAAAAAAAAAAAAAAGAATGATAATTCAGAGACTATCTTTTTTTTTCCTTTCTTTCTTTTCTTTTCTTTTCTTTTTTCTGAGACAGAGTTTTGTTCTGTCATTGAAGCTAGAATGCTGTTGTATGATCATAGCTCACTGCAGCCTCGAATTCCTGGACTCCAGCAATGTTCCTACCCCAGCCTCCCAAGAAGCTGGGATTATGAGCCCATGTCACCACACCAAGCTTATTTTTTTATTTGAGAAAAAATTAGAGAAAAGGTCTTGATCTTGTTTAGCTGGTAGTGACTATTTTCGAAAAGGATACATGAAGACTAGAAGCATATTATCTGAATCAAGTATGTCATCTATCTAAACCAGGGGTTCTCAACCTTCCTAATGCTGCGACCCTTTAATACAGTTCCTGTGGGTCTCGACCCACGGGTTGAGAACTGCTGATCTAAACTAACATAAAATCATTAGTGTGAGACATTTCAGTGGCAAGAGAGCTCCACTCTAAACAGAAAGCTCCAATAAGACAGAGTGCTACTTCCATTTTACTTTGCCTACTTTAAGAAGGCTTTTCACTGTTACACCTTTATCTCCAAAGCTCATGAAAATATACGTACTAGAATGGAAAGGCTCATCACCTAGTACAGACAATATGTGCTCTGATGGATCACTAAGATTAAGTAAGTGTAAGTGGTGTTCTGCCTTTCTCTCAGAGGGCACTAGCCTCAGTTTACCTCATCACTATCTAGTAGAAGCATTTTTCAGTGCTAACTTATAGTCTTCTAAAGATCAGAGTTGACTGTTAGTTTTCAGTTATGGTGTAGCGAACAACTCTTCAAGACCATTCAGACCACTCAGTCATTCAATTGAATAGTCTAAAGTTTCTTACTTTTGCGCAACTGATACATTGTGCGTAGGATATGTCTGTCCCTTATGTTTTTGGTTTTCCCAACTAGCCAGTATACTGAAGACTAGTACAGTGTCTTTGTTTCCTAAGCAAACCAACATGGTTTTACATCTACAGGGCTTTAGAAGCATGTACAGGGCTTTAGAATGATGCCAGCACAATGAGAAAAAAAACTGTAGATAATACTCTAACAATTACACATAATTTCTGTAGGCCTTTGACAAGCTTTCATATCAACTGAAGTGATAAGTATGCATGTGAACCAATAACCGCGATAAAAGGCAAATTACAGATAAACCTAACTGACCCCATCCCAAGGAATTCCAAGGAAAGGAAGGTTTAAAGAAGGTGAGCGAAAAGATTCAGACTGAAAATAAGTTTAGAAGGGACTTGAATGAAAAGGAAACAGAAAGCAGTAACAAAATCTAGAAATGGGAAGACTAGTATGGTACTCATTAAATAAACACACTACAGTTAAAGAGTCAGAGAGAGACTAAACACATCTTTGGTGAATTCTCTGGTTACAGACAGGGATCAGAGGCTTAGAATGTACCACCATGACCCAACGCACCAACTGTACCCAACAGTACCTAAACGATGCTCGATAAGTGTCTGTGAAGCTGAAATGAATTCTAACACTAGCCCTGTAATTCTGGATAAAACCTTCTGACTCCATTCAAATTTCTTCAATTTTAAAATAGGGGTAATATCCATGGAGTTGACTATTCTCATAAAATTGTTAATCTTACATATGTAAGCACTTATTAGAATATGAAAATGTTATTATCAAGGAGATTAGACCTAAGGGATCAAGTATTGACAGAATGGACCAGAGTGGAGAGGAGAGGTAAGGCTGGATATAATAGGGTGATAAACCAGAACTGGTAATTAACAGGAAATTACTGTATGTTCTCAATGGCATTTTTGTTTTCATTTTTATACACAGCCTCTATTAAAATACAATGCAATACCATAAAACTCAAGTGCACAACTTAGTCAGTTTCAGTGCATTCATAGAGTACTGCAACCGTAATCACTATACAATTTTGAAGTAGTTCCTTTCAGTAACATTTTAGCAGCATACATGCAAGTAAGGAGGTGAAGACAAGAACGCTACCACAATACCCTATGTGTAGCTTTCTAAAGGACACGTTATCCTTTAGATTAACTTTGTAAATGGAAATAAAGGATTTTACAATACTGAAAAGAAACTGTTAGCAATAACTAGTTACAGTGTGGCCCAGGACAGTGGATGTCCGGTGGAAGATCAGGTCAATAATAATTTTGACAACAGTGAAGCCAATGATGGAAACAGTAAGATACGAAGATAGCTCATGTAGACATAAGGGAAGAAAGGAAGACAAATTTAAAATCTAGACATTCTTATTTTTGTGTCAATGGTGACATAATCAGTAAGAACTTTTCCACTGAATACTGAAAATAAAGAAACCAGTGACAAGTTGAAACTTAGGACGCGGATGGTGCCTGTGGCTCAAAAGGATAGGGCACAGGACCCTTATGCCAGAGGTGGTGGGTTCAAACTCAAATCCTTTTCTTTTACATGCTTAAACGACAAATGTTTTAACATAAGTTTAGGAGACTTCCACATAGGGGACCCGCAGTAAGCATGCGTCTCTTTCCTAGTTTCATAGTTTGAGGCTCCCTCTTCCGTCCTAAAAGTGAACTGTGTAAAACCATGGCCTCTCACTGTAACCAGAGCTGTTGTTTTGAAATCTCCCTCCTATGAATGTATCTCTCCTCCACCTTTAATAAAAACTTTCACTTCCCTTCAAACTTCCTGTTTCTTCCCTGAACAACTGAGATTCTACTTCTAGCAGTGTTTATTTAGAATTGGACTCTTCTTTTCTCAAAGTAGTTTTTGTTGGAAATTTCTGAAATTCTTAAAGTACATTTCAGTTATTTCTAATGTGCTGGCAGTTTCTTAGTGTGACCCAAGGTCTGTTTTTCATTCACCTGCAACCTAAAAGCAGGGTTGCCTGTTGTTCTCAGATCCACTCCTGAAGTTTCTCACTCAAAGTGGTTCTCTCCCTTTGGAATTTGTTGGTGATTTCTTAGTTTCTAGGCTCCCCTGTCTATTCCTTCTGCAACATGAAACATTTAAATGGATCCTGCTACCCTGATCTACCCATGTCTAGGGTTTCAGAACTGCAATAGGGCTTGGAGAACACAGAGTCTATAATTATGACCATTAATACTGAGATCATGAAACCAAGGCCCATCAAGGCTGCTTTTGTTTCCAGGGCTATTCAGCCAGTCAGTGGCAAAACAGCATTTGAACTCAATTCTGTCCCCCAGGACAGGGAAGCAGAAATATATCAAGCAGGTAGCCATAAGGAAAAATTCATCTCTACAGCTCCAGCACATACGTTTAACTTAACAATATTCAGACCACCTGCCTACTGTAGGCCAGCCATACATACTCCATACATTATCTCTATCATACTCTCCAACTTTTAACAGTTATGAAAACTGGGAGTCAGGATTTAAACAACTTGCCCAAAACCACACAGCCCTAAGAGACTCAAAACCAGCTTGACCATAAATAAAGTCTGGGCATCTTTTGCCTCACCGTCTTACCTAGATCATACAATAACACATGAAGAGAGTTAAAAACAGCTGATTTTAACCGTACTTAAATTTTCAAGTAATATATTATTTTTAAAAATCTTTAAAAAAACAGTTAAAGAGTACATTACATATAGGCTTCACCCGGTAAACATTTTTTTTTTTACTTTCTTAACATTTGATCGTATGTGTAAAAGTTCACTTGCAGAAAAAAATGAAATAAAACTGACCATCAAGACTTTATTTCCCTAGATGTGTCATTAAGGATAAAACTAAGCCTTAAGACTATTGTCTCCACTTTAAAAAGTCATTAAATCAATCACTGGGGAGATTTTCTAAGGCAATGATTTTCAAAATGTATTCCCACATCAATAGTTATAAGATAGATGAAAATTCAGGGCATACTACACAAAGTAGGAATGAAGTATTCCCAGAAATAGAAAAGAGAGATTGAGAGGCAGTTTACCTACATAACATTACAGGATTATCATCAACATTCATTTTTATTTAATAAAATCGTTACTGTTCTTATTTCTCATCTCATAGTCTTTCAAAACTTCCAAACTTTCAGCAAGATAATTCCTTCCTAACATAATTCTGAACTACTGGGTTCCGTTCTCTGGCACCAAATCAAAGTAATTTTTTTTTTTATTAAGAGTTTCTTATTAACCCACTTTGTCTACAGTCCAGACCTTAATCTTCTACATTTAAAACCATCTGAAAGTATATAACAGCTACACTTTCTTCTTTCTTTTTTTTTAATTAAATGATAGCTGTGTACATTAAGGCAATCATGGGGTACAGTGTAGTGTTTTCATATACAATTTGAAATATTTTCATCAAGCTGGTTAACATAGACTTTATGATATTTACTTAGTTATTGTGTTAAGACATTTATACTCTACTTTTAGAAAGATTCACTTGTACCCTTGTAAGACAAACCATAGAGGTGATCTTTCCAATCACCCTCCCTCCACCCATCCGCCCTTCTCCCCTCCCCTCCCCCTCCCCATATTCTTGGGCTATAATTAGGTTATAGCTTTCATATAGTTTTATAATAGCGATGTGTACATTGGATACTTTTTCTTCCATTCTTGTGATACTTTGCTAAGAAGAACATTTTCCAGTTCCATCCATGTAAACATGAAGGAGGCACTTTCTTCTTTCTAAACAGGGTA